CTTTCATCTGGCAACCAACAAAATGTTCTCTGTATCTATGAGAATGTTTCTGTTCTACCTGTTCATTTTGTTTGTAGATGCCATTGTTGATAGATATGTATTCATTGCCATTTTGTTTGTTCATATATTTTATCTTTTTCTTCAAAAAGACCCTTCATCATTTCATATAACAACGGTTTGGTGGTGATGAACTCCTTTAACTTTTTCTTGTCTGGGAAACTCTTTATATGGCCATCGATTCTACATGACAGCTTTGCAGGATAGAGTAATCTTGGTTGTAGGTTCTTGGTTTTCATCACTCTGAATATTTCTTGCCACTCCCTTATGGCCTGCAAAGTTTCTTTTGAGAAATCAGCTGACAGCCTAATGGGAACTCCCTTGTAGGTAGCTAGCTGCCTTTCTCTTGCTGCTTTTAAGATTCTCTCTTTGTCTTGAACCTTTTGCAATTTGATGATGATGTGTCTTGGTGTGGGCCTCTTGGGGCTCATCTTATTTGGGACTCTCTGTGCTTCCTGGACTTGTATGTCTGTTTCCTTCACCAAGTTAGGAAAGTTTTCTGCCATTATTGTTTCAAACAGGTTTTCAATTTCTTGTTCTCGCTCTTCTCCTTCTGGCATCCCCAAAATGCGAATGTTGGCATGCTTGAAGTTGTCCCAGAGGCTCCTTACACTATCCTCATTTTTTTGGATTCTTTTTTCTTTTTGCTGTTCTGATTGGGCGTTTTTTGCTTCCTTATATTCCAAATCGATGGTTTGCTTCTTGGATTTACGTACTCTACTATTGAATCTGTGTAAATTATTCTGTATTTCAGTTAATGCCTCCTTCATTTCTGACTGTGCAGCCATCATTTCTGACTGGTCCTTTTTTATGCTCTTGTGGCCCTCCCTAAGTTCACTGAGGTTCTCACTAAGTTCATTGAACATCCTTATAAGTATTTTGAACTCAGCATCTGTTAGGTTGCTTATCTCCATTTCACTTAGTTCTTTTCTTGGGGTTTTGTTCTGTTCTTTCATTTGGGACCTGTTTCTTTGTCTCCTCATTTTGGCTGCCTCCCTGTGTTTGTTTCTGTGTATTACTTAATGAGCAGTATGGGGCTAGCTGAGACCAGATGCTGCTTGTTTGAAAGAATTTAGGAAAAACCTGAAGCAGGATCCAATACAGGCCAATCCTACGGTTAAGCAAGTGGCAACAACTTGGGTGGGCTTGCAAGTTGGGTGGGGCGGGGCCTCAGGGAGTCAGCAGGGCGGGGCTACCAGTGTGAGCCAGGTTGCTGGAGTCCCAGATATGGAGACTGTCTGCTGCCCCCGGGAAGGGCTCACCAAAGGAACAAAGGCCTCTGACAGCACGTTTGTTCCGGAGAAAGCCCCCCTCTCCAGCCCTTGCTCCAGTGCCAAACAACTCAGTTCTTCCCTGTGTGTCTCTGGTGCCTCTCGAGCTGCCTCCCCTTCAAGCTTAGAGGGAGAGAGTCCGATAAATTCGTGCGCAGGTCCTTTAAGGAGCTGCCTGGGGCTCCAGCTGCCTCAGCCTCCGTGAGCCTCAGTTCCTGCTGGTTTTTCCAGCCAGAAGTTATGGCGACTTCTCTTCCTGACACTGGAACCCTGAGAGGGGCACCTGGTGTGGGACGGGGACCCCTCAGTCCTCAGGAAGGACCTTCCCAGCCGCGGGAGCCTCCTGATTTTTATCCGCCACATGCGGGTGTGGGACCAGCCCATCCGCCTCCGCCCCTCCTACCAGTCTGGATATGGCTGCTGCTTTAATTCCGTAGTTGTAGGACTTGCATTCAGCTTGATTTCAGGCGGTTTTGAATGATGGTTGTTCTGTAGTTTAGTTGTAACTTTGATGTGGTTGTGGGAGGACACGATACCATGTTTACCTACGCTACCATCTTGACCGGAAGTTCGCCGCATGCAGTTTTATCTTCACTGGTCTCTTGGAAGGTGGTAGAATGGGCACATACCTTTTCCGTCTCATTTAGAGCCGTGATGGGAAGGCCCCTGATGCTATCCTCATTCTTCTTCCTACTGTCTCAAGCGCCTCTGTCAGGGCTCTGTTGCCCATATTCCAGAGTTCTCACCTTCTGAGCCTCTACTGAAATCATCCCCACAGAATTAACTGTGGACACCGAGGGCAAAGTTGCTAGCAGAACAGAAAGACTGGGGATTTATTAGGAAAGAAGGAAAAGATTCCTTGTGGAGCAGAAGCCCTCCCCTGGTAAGACAGAGCTGGGTAGGTGCTAAAAGCAGTCACTGTGAGGGGCCAGGGGCTGCAGCATTTGGGCACTGCCTGGCCACCACTTCTTATCACCTGCTTAACAAACCCTTTTATTATAGTTAACACAAAGCTCATGTGCACTGATATCTGAGTTTTGATATATCACACTAAAAAAAAAAAAAAAATCAAATCAACATCAAATTATTTTTCTTATAAAACCCTCAAAAACATTTCCAAACCTCTCCCCTCCCCAAATTACCAATTATTTCTTCAGCAACATTGCGAAAAGAGAATTTTTATAATTTAGCTCCAAATTTGTATATGGTCATTTTGTATACAGTTTGGTTGACTGAGATCAGTCACTTCACAACCCACCAGTTAGTTCCAGATAAAAACAGCCACATTAGTTGTTTATAGACATCTTTTTAATGTTTTACTTTAAAACAAATAATCCCAGTAAGAGAGAGCAAAGGAAATGACATTTTAATGGTAGCTTGAAATGGATATGGTATTCCTGATTTATTTGTGTTCAGGAAACAGACAACTGCATTGTCATACATGACTTGTAGAACCGCTCACTTAAATGCATGTAATTATATTAAGTTTCTTGTACAAAAACAAAACAAAAACACAAAAAACAAAGTCATTTTAAGGCAAAAAAAAAAATATCAGCTTCTGGGGAGATAAGGTAATATTTATGATATTTTCTGAAGCGATCCATTAATTTAGTTGCTCATATTTTCATTATTCCTTATAGTTTTACTTTGCAAATGGGCATGAAAATTAGTCACTTTGTGCCTGGTGTCCTCCTCTCTATTAGACTTGTTTTACCTGTAAATTAAGAACTTTCAGAATCACTGAGTCAATGGGAGGTGAGAAAGGCACCTTTGAATAGGAGATAAAGACTTAAAAACTCAATAAATTGCCTTACTTTAAACAAAGCTTGCAATTGACAGGTATCAATTCAGTTGAACACAATGCAAACATTTAGATCAGACACAAAACAGTTTTTAGTTAACCTCATATAAGGGATGTTTGCAATTAAGTGTTAGCTTGGTCAGCCCTGCATGTGGCAGAGGGCAGACAGACTTGAGCCGAGAAAGCATGTGGTAACTCAGTGCTCAGCTAAACTGTGCTTCAAGACACCATTTGGGTTGACCAAAGGGACTTTGCTAGGTATAAATGGGAGACCTCTCTGAATTCTCTAGAGAGAAACACAACAGATAGAACCCTACGTTTTCCACACAATACAACTATCATTGAACATCCAAGAAATTTTTTGTGCTAGAGTAAGATAGACACAATATGGTCATGACTTCAATGTATAAATGTTTCTCACTGTATAAATGTGGTTGATCACATTTTGCTGTAAATAAGACCTCAATGATGTTTGCAGGTTTTGTTTCTGAATCTTCTGTCTTTAGCAATTCTGGATGAACTGTATTGTGTTTGAGGCCTAAAGAGGCCCAAGGAGGGGTCCCCAATACATTCAGAATTTCTGCTGCCAGTGGGGTTTGAGCCAGGACAGAGGATGTCCAAGAATCAGCGCTACCTGAAAATTGCTGCCTCCTTCCTCTTCCTTCGAGTGCATGGCAGGTGTCTGGCTTTAGGTCAGTGGAAGTGTGTGTGCATGTGTGTGCATGCGTGCATGTGTGTGTGCAACCTCCTCCAGAGGATGTATCACAACTTCAGGTCGAGTGGAGACATGGGTAGATAAAAAATTGCATTTGATAATTTATTAAGATTCTATGTTTCAAAAACAAAAATAATTGCTTTAAATGCTTGATAAAATTTTTTAAACTGGAGTGTAAAATTAGGCTCCGTCTTCTGTGTCTCCAGCAGCCAAGAAGATTCTGAATGATACACTCCAGGGTGTGCTAGAACTGTGGGGCGGCTGAGAAGAGGAAGCTTTCAAAATTTCAATGTCTATCAAAAGGGACAAGGCTTTTAAAAGGCTGAGGAGCACATTTTGGGTAGAGTGGAGAAGTGGTTTACTTGGGGATGAAGGCTGGTTAAGGGCAGGTGAAGTTCAGAAGCAAAATAGTAGCAGAGAATTGACAAGCAGTTAATGGAGAAGAAAATTAAGGAGAGAGTCGAGGGTGGAGAAAGCCAGCTGTGAGAGAGACCGGGGAAGGACTGCTGGATTTCAGTCTTTGGGTTCCCAGTCGATACCCCCTGCTCATTCTTCTGGGCTGCTGGAGAAGGAGGCAGCACTCTGCCAAGGAGAACCTTTCAAAATGTCCTTCTGTGGCTAGGACATTGAATCGAAGTGCTCTCTTGCTTCTCCTTGCCTTTTGAAGGCCATTCATTGCCTCGGCTGAGATAACTAGACTGGTTACTAACAAGCAGTCAGCATTGTTTGCTTTCTGGCTAACACATTTTTTAATTTTGTGTTTCTTGGGCTTTTTGCTGTCATGTTAAATGATGAAGTGTTTTGATTTGCAGACCCTGCCCGTGTTACCTGGCTTCTAACTGTAAATGTTTATACCAGGAAACCGAACCAATAATTTCAGATTTGGGGCAACATTCTTGGGGATAATAGAAAATGTTCACTACTGTATAAAAAGTAAAGGAGGTTTCATTTTAGCCTTTCATATGCAAAATGTACTACATAATAGCAAAAAACATTCAGGGCATATTAAAAAATAAATACCTTGCAAAATTCTCTGTTTATATATAAGAATAAGATGTTTAGGTAGTTGACTCCTTTCGCAGTATTCATTTTCTAAAAAAATCGAGTTCTTTTATTTTGGTTTGTTTCTCTCCCTCTCATTGCCCTTTGAGGGGAAATCACTTTCTTGAACTTCACTTACTTCCCGGTGTGGTGTCTTCTCAGGCCTTTTCCATCTCAGTCTCACTCACATGTCTCATTCCCTGGGATCCTGCCTGTGTGTCAGCGAAGGGGGGACAGCTTCTCACACTCCCCCGTTGTGTGGGTGGGACTGGCAAGCCTGGGCTGGTGCCACTGCCGAGAGGTCAGCCCAATCACACTGGCCTTTCAACCGATTGGTGTTTCACTTGTTGTGTAGAAGTTGACCACTTACAGAATTGATCCGGCCATTAGGGAATATGTTTCCATAAAGTCAAGTGTATCCAATAGTCAGTTTATTTGCCCCACTGGCCCTGAACTGCATGATTTGCACATTTTCTAATTGAAGAACATTCTCGTCATAAAGGACAACATGAAAATGATGTGCAAAATTGCTTGCCACAGCATGAAATCACCAAAAGCACACGTATCGACATTCATATTACATTAATAATGACATGACTGACTAGGAATGGGTTGGCAAATATATCTTGAAATAAGCAGCCATTTCTACTAGTCCCCAATTCTGCTTCACTTGGTACCTTGTCAGCAGCTGTTGATGAGTGCCATTGGGTTTAAATATACATTATGGCCTGATTTTGAAAATGTATTTTGCATTTAATCGCAAAGCAGAAATGGCTGAAATTTGAAGGCGTTTACTCCCATAATCTCAAAATCCAGAGTTAAATCTTCTAAGTGACCTAATTTCCACACACCCCACAGCGTTAGCTGTGTTTGGTTTCTCAGGATTATTACCTCAAGGTACGTTACTAAATGAGTGGGTTAATGTTGATGTACCTTGGAATTTCAGCCATCCCTAAACATGCATTTTCATGCAATTAAAAGATAATGGGCTTATAAACTGCCTTTCATGTTCTTCCCGATTCTTGCAAATTCAATTTTAGAAGGGCTTTCAAAAGAGTTCATGCAATGATATGTATGGCTAAAGGAACTGCTATGCCTAGAAAGAAGACAAGGAACTTATTTCAGTTTGACGTGAGGCAAGCTGAGGGCATCTGTACTTTCTCCAGCCTTACAAATGCTCTGAGATGATCGAGACCTTCCAGTCCTTAGAGAGTCTGACGCAAAAGCAGCTTCCCTGGCAGGCTGCGGCATGGCATCAAAAGTGTCTGTCTCCGTCTCTTCCGAGCCCACCTCTTCATCAGTTATAAACAATTTGGATTCCCTCCATTTGGGGTAAAAATCTTGGCTGCCTCTGGAGCCACTCGACTCACTCCCTGAAAGCTGTATATTCAGTTCCTCTGTCGACCTGATCAGGTTTTGTACAGACAAAGATTTGCCCAAGTCCTTGGGTGCCGCCGGGTGGACAGACAACAGAGTTTCTCCTCCCATGTCAAAGCTCTTCCTCAGGGAACGGTCCTTGGTCAGATTTGACTGTGCAACCTGAACATTTTCCTTGGAGGCAACAAGGCAGGTGGTGACATCAGGAATGCTCTCCTGTAAGCCTGTGGGGTTTGGGTACAGGGTCTCTGGCCTGGGCAGATGCTTGATGGCTGGGAGAGGAGGCGGGATCTGTAAAGTTGTTGGGGCTGCTGGCTTAGGTGCCGCATTTATTTGGTTTGAAATGTTGGTGGCTGCCACTGAGGCGCCATCACTTTGACTCAGTGGCACCTGTGTTGCTTGACTGTGCATAGTAGGGCTAAGCGCATAGAAAGTCTGAGCGCTGAACTCATTTGGCGTCAGAATGAACTGCAGGCCTCGAGGGATGTTGGCACTAGCTGATCTGGCTAAGCAGCTACTGTTCTGTGCGGAGCTGGACAGGTCTTTGCTGTCCACAGGGCTTTGATAGTCAGATGTCTGTTCACATTCAAAAGGCGGGATCTGGAATGAGGCCAACGTGAGGGCAGAGGCCGAGCCTTTCCGGAGGACCTGTTGATATATGTCTAGTAGGCAATCCAGCTTGGACTCAATGGACTGTACCTGGAAATGGGGAAAATGGTTGTATATGAGTATAAGCTGTTATTAAGATTGGGCTTCACTTCTAGAATTAAAAAAATAAAATCAGATTGTGCCAAGACATTAAAATATGGAGTGTAAGGGTAATGCAGACCTGATTTTTGGTACCATTTTATTTAATTAAAAAAAATTTTTTTTCCCCATTTTGTACCAGTTTAGAATGTGACGTTTGGCAGTGGTGGGTCAAGGAGGACTTGAGAGGAGAGGGAGGCTTTGGCCTCTATGTGATCTTTATCAACACCACTCCCCCCCAGTTCTTTTAAAATGGACAATTGAGCCCTGGCCGGTTTGGCTCAGCAGTGGAGCGTCGACGCGCGGACCAGAGAGACCCAGGTTTGGTTCTCACTAAGGGCACGTACCTCGGTTGCAGTTTGTCCCTGGCTCTGGTTGGGGTTGTGTGGGTGGCAACCACTCCATATGTCTCTCTCACATCGATGTTTCTCTCTCCTTCTTCCTCCCTCTTTCCTTCCCGCTCTATCTGAAGATAAGTGCAAAAATGTCCTCAGATGAAGATTAAAAAAAAAAAGGACAATTGATAGTCTCAAAAACCATATAATCACTGTACAAATGCAACTTCAGGACTCCCCAGCCCAGTCAGGTTGCCTTTCCTAAGACTTTTCTCTGAAGACATTCTGGAATTCTGCTGCACTACAGGAAGGAACTGATTCTGTAATAAACTCAAGACCTTAAATATCAGTCCAGGTGGCTCCAAGTTTAAAAATAAAGACACAAAATGCTTTAGAATTAATACCTGAACTATTTATAATTAAACTGGGGGAGCAATTTGATTTCTGGAAAAGGGTCTTTGGATGAGATGCAGCCTGAGGGTTAACAGACATTCAGTGTACTATAATAGTGATAATGAGTTTTTTTTTATTTTATTTAAAAGAGTGACCTAAAAGAGAGACAATGAAAATAACCAAAACACAAATAAAAAATAGATATTTTTTATCTTACTGTTCAAAGTCTATAATTGCTTCTTGTGTGATAAGATGAAATTTTCTGTTCCTTATATGAAAGTTCAAGTGTTTAGATAATTCTGTCTATGCACAAAAAATATTTAATTTCATTAGCTTTTTCTTGATTTTATTTCTTGATTTTACTTTTAAAATATATTAATCACTAAAATACATCCAATTGCTTATAATCAGTTTTGATTAAAATTCTGGTGGCCCCGGCTGGTGTGGCTCAGTTGGTTGGGTGTCGGCACCCCATGCACTGAAGGGATGCTGGTTTGATTCCCAGTCAGGGCACATGTCCAGGCTGTGGGCTCGATTCCTGGCGGGGGACATGCGGGAGGCAGCTAATGGGTATTCTGCTCTCACATCGATGTTTCTCTCTCTCCTTCTCCCTTCCTCTCTCTCTAAAAGAAATCAATAAAAAAAAAATCTTTAAAAAAAATTCTGGCTGAAAATTTTAACCAATATCGTTCAGTTGTACCTGTTTTTCAACCTTGACCACCCGGCCGAGCATACTGAGGTCGTCTGTGGTCTCATGTTCTGCCGTTATTTTCTCTCGGCTCTTCTTATCTGATGTGATTTGCCCTTTTCCAAGAATTTGATCAACACTATCAGAGAAAGAGGACATCTGATTATGAGTGCTGGGGATGGAGGTTGCTCTAGGTTAGAATGAAGTGTTTTGAAAAGAAAAATCAAATACAATGATCTTTAATTTATGAAAGATGAAATAAAAATGAACTTATTCCAGTCGATGTGCTTATTTTCTTAGCATGAGAATTACACATGAGATTAATTTTATCATTATTTTGGTACATGATGAAACCACCTGTGGGTGATCTTCTGGAAGAAAAATTGTCTTAACCTACAAAGCAATTTGTCTGTTTCCATCTTTGATCAAGATTTTCCTGAATTCAACTACTTAAAGTCTAACAAAATCATAATCATGGCTATTCCCCATTAATAGCTTATTCAATGAACATTTATTGTGTACTGGTCTGTGGGAGACAGCAGATAAGAAAGCTTTTGGAATTCTAGTTGGAAAATATACTCTACATGAGCTAGATACTCTAGATTAGTTCTGGAAATTTTGTAGCAGTTCAATTTGATAAAAATCTTGGGAGCCACAGATAGTTCTAGTAAAGGACTTGGAAGACAGTTACCACCTAGGCAAAGATTGTAACATGACCACAGGGTGAGTTAAAAGAATTCCCAAGGAGACTTGATCAGCCTAAATGGGAATTACAGTACTTCCTTCTTTTGTGTGTGTGGTTTGAACTGAATTACCAGTTCCAGTTTCCAGTTTACTTTGTCTGCATAGAGATACAGGCAAGCCTACCTTCTGTCATGCCATCTAAGCTATTAAACTGCAAGTTCAGAAGGATGGGGTCATTATTTTATTAATATCTGGATGTCCACAGCATGTGGCACACACTACAGGCTCAACAATTATCTGTTGAAAGAATGAATAAACAAATTATAATTTTTGTTGTTGTAACCGATCAACAGGTATTTACTAAGGGTCTCATATATCCCTCACCTTGGGCTAAATGTGCTGTGGGCATATAAACCAAGGTTTCAGACTCAGTCCCTATATTCTAACAACTGTTTAATTACAAATGCTGGTAATTTGTGCCTGATAGTAAAGCAAGATCCTTAAAAAAAAACTGAATTGACTAAACATCTTGCCTTGAAGATAAGACAATCAAACACATGTAGTTGGCATAATGCATTGAATTCATTTCTTTTATCATTCAATTAGATGCTCACTGGAAAGACAGTGTGTATTTAGCAGTTGCAAGACATGAAGGAAAGGAAAGGCCCCATCTCAGTCATAAGAAGGAGAACAAACTTGCAGCTGGAAATAATACAAGAGCCAGCCAGTCATTTTTCAGTCTTGGCTCTGGCACAGTATTCCAAGATCCAGAGTGCTGTTGTCTCCGTAGTGGACTTGAAGTGCTCTGGGTGGTCAGACGAGGAAAAGGTCTGTGTTTATGGGCTAGATAAAGGTAAAGTTGAATGAAAGACTAGTTTATTCCTGAAGAATGGTTAGTACCATTCTTAGGTGATAACGAAACAGCAGCAGTGATAATCAAATGACATCTGAACAGCCACTATCATTTATGGAGTACTCATTTAATGTGTGTTAACTCATTCAGTCCTCATGGCAACTAATACTATCCCCGTTTTCACAGATGGGGAAACTGAGACTCTGTATAGTTGGAGGCTTCTAATACCTGATTTATATCCTTAAATAAAATCTATGCTAAATGCAAGGTCCAGTTTTCCACTAAAAATGAATTAGAACTATGGAATTTGAGTTTTTTCTTCTTCAGTGTTCCTCCCAGATAGTTTCTGTGTCTTTCCTTTACAACAAATACCATTTTCATCGCTCACCGTGTTTGAAGGCTCTTAATTCTACACAACATGTCCAGGTGACCAGCAGAATATTGTTCAATGACATCTTTTACGTCATATGGGCGTAATGTTTCTTTAAATTTCCGTTTTGCAACATGAAATTTCATAATTCTGTAAGAGCAACATATTACACATTAATCTTTATTACTTCATAAAAAAGCTACAAAAATAGCTTACTAGTAAAATATAAGAAACTCTGGGGAAGAAAGTCATGCATCAAATTATTTTAGGCTTCCATGAAAATGCAACATAAAAGCCTGAGATTACAGTGGACAGTTTCAGAATTTTATCTCACATGGGGCACACCTTGAGAGTAGAAAAACATACTAAAAAAGGCACTATGAAGTGTTGCACCTTTTTAATGTTCATTGAAACACCAATTTAAAATTGAGGTTAAAATGCAATTCTCCTTTTTCCATGTGACCCCCAAAAGTCCAAGATATAACACCTAATGATTGCATCCTTTATAAAATATAAATGTTGTTAAAATGGTCCTTTATGTAACAATATTCATTATTGAGATGCAGATGGATTCTCTGCAAAAAAAATGTACATTCGTATAGAAATTTACAAAAATTTTGTTCTATAAATTATTTCTGCAGATTATACAGAATATAATCTGCTGGATTAACTAGCCACGTTTCTTTTGTTTCAGACATAATACGTCATCAACTAAGTTTGGATGTCTAAGCTTTACATTTAAAATATGCTCTTTTAAAAAACATTGATTCTAAAGAGAGAGAGAAAGGGAGAGGAAGAGGGAGGGAAATACTGATGAGAGAGAAATATCGATTGGTTGCCTCCTGCACACCCCCTATGTGACCTTACTGGGAATTGAACTGTAGACCTCTTAGTGCATAAGATGATGCTCAATCAACTGAGCCACACTGGCCAGGGCAAAATATTTTTAAAATAATTATGCCTCCCCCAACATGGGCCCCATGTTTTAAAACATTATTTTATTAACAAATTTCATGGTGCCATAAATAGCTAAGCTGCCTAAGATAACCAGTGATTGCAATAATCTGATATAGTTCCTGAAGAAAGCAAAGAAGCATAACAGTTTAATGAGTCGGTGCAGCCTTACTGCAGGTAAATGTTAAGTCTTGATGTTTTTTCAACTCTTAAATGGCTTATAGACTCCCATTATCACATTCATGGGTTCCAGGCTGGGAATCAGTCAATGAGCCTCTACGAACCAAAATTTATTGTCCCTGGAGGAAAGTGGGAAGATTAGGAATAAATGTAGAGTTTAAACAAAGCATGCTCATTACTTATCCTAAGTGATAGCTGATTGCAAGGAATCCAAATTGCTTTATTGGTTAAAAAGCCCCAAACTTTATCTTGTAATTGCATTAACTTCAAATTAATTGTGTCCTAATTATTCTTGAATCATTTATCCATAATACATATCATTTTTTAAAATTCAGGTATAACTGACATATCATATTAGTTTTAGGTATGCAACAGAATGATTTGATATTTGTATATATTACAAAATTATTACCACAACGAGTCTAGTTAATATGCATCCTCATATATGGTATCCATAAGAATATAGATATCCAAGAATATCCCTAATAGTCTTACTCTCCCTACCACATTTTCTCCTCCCATCTCTTCTTTAGTCAGTATAGTTTTCTTTTTAACTGTAAAGACATTTAATCAGAGTTATCAGCAGAAAGTAAAGGAAATATGTTTGAGCGATTCCATAATGGTGGTGGAGTGAATGGAAGCTACACAGACCATCTCCCAGGACCAAACTGGAATTACAACTAAAATAAAGACAAATCATTGGGAAAAAGCAACAGAAAGCAGCTTGTGAGGACCATATAACAAGGGACACTAAATTGATCCTGGTAGGATTGCAGAGGTGCGAGAGGGGAGCTGGGAGCCCACAGACAGCAGCGGTCTTAGCTGTGAGCAGTGCCCTCGGGGTTAAACTCCCAAGCCCACTCCACAGTGCAGAGAGCTGGGACAGAGTGCTGAAATAGCCACAGCCACTCACCATGGGCTCCGGCAGAGGGAGGGCAGGCTGGACTAGAACTCTGTGGGGACATTCAGGATTTGGAGGGGCTCAGAGCTCATGATGAGTTGCAGCCACGAAGGACAGTGGCCATATTGTTCCTTCCCAGGGCTCTTGGGAGAGGCGGCTGCCCCTTCCTTGGAGATTCAACCCCACCCAAGTAGGCCATTGAAATGCAAATTGAGGCCATTAACAACCAGTATCTGCCCCACCCTCAGAAAATCCTCTTATGCGAAACACCTAAGAGAGTTTTTCATTCAACTGAGAAACCAAGGCTCTACAAGTAACCACAACTAACAGCCTCCAGGCAAAAAAGCTAGAGGATAACTGAACCATTCCTGGGCTTGCAAATCTTCTCGGGAAAGTAAGACTTGACAGTGGTGTTTAACATGCATCCTCCCACGCCCATCCAAACCCAGTAGAGGGAGCCACAAATAGCAGAACATCAACAGCCACAGGGAAAATTTGGCAGGCTCCAAAACCCACTGAGATAGCATTTGCCAGTGTATTCCTGAGTGTATAAAACCATCTCACCTATTAAGAATTAAGTTTTCTAAGATGGAGATTAAATAGATTTTCTTAACTGGTTTTGTTGTGTGTTGAAACATCAGAGAAGTCTGAGATGTGATGTGAGAATTGTAACTCAGGTAATATGTTTTATAAATGTGAAGGGAATGTCTAAAAAGCATAAGCGTTTTTGAAATCAATAATTTATATAAAGAATAATGACAGTCATTTTGCCTTTTCTAAGGGCAACCAAGCATGTACTAATAGCTCTCGAAACTGTCTCCTTTTCATCTGCATTACTATAGACTAAGAAAGAATAAACCTTTCGAAAGGCAAAGATGACCATATTAACTCCCCTCTACACCCCCCCCCCCCCGCCCGCTAAATGCCTTCATTGGTTTTTTATGGCCTATTGGGTAAACACCCAATTCCTTAGCACAGCCTGTAAGGCTGTTCATAGACTGGCCTCTGTCTATCTTTCTCACCTCAGCCACTCCTACTTCTTCCTTGGAACTTGAGGTTCCAGAAAAAAAGAAAATATTTGTAGGTTCACAAAAACACCATTTAATCAAATATATACATCAAATACTCTCTTATGCTATTTCCTCTTTCTGAAATTCTATGATATCTTTAAGGCTCAGCTCTAAAGTCACTTTTTAATGGAAAGTTTTGTAATTCTTCCAAGGCAGTTAGTCAGTTGTCTATCAACCTCTATTTTAGTACATAACACACCACATTGTATATATTTGCTTATAGATTGGCCCCCACCAGACTGTATGAGGTCCTCGAATGCAGGGTGGTGTCTTTCCCTATTGATAATCTAATACTTGGTGCAGTAGTTAACAGACAAGAGAGGTTTGTTGGTCTAGAAGCTATACTAGGAGACTGGGTGGGCGACTCGAGAGGGAATGGGGTAACAGATGGAGAGCTCCCGCCTTCTCTCCCCAGATGCTCATCTCTATTCATTCCTCTGCACGAAGCTACACTCCAGCCCCTCCGGGTTTTCTTGTCACCAAAGCACTAATTTCTCAGCATTCTGCCTTGGCATTCTACCTAAAATGCTAACTGCCCCAGATTTGAGCATTGACTGCTCTAGGCAGTCTCTCCTGACCACCCCACAGAGGTAGACGGTCTTGCTCTGTGCAGTCAAATGCACTGTCAGGTAGCTGAGTCTGTGGCATTGTCTCACACACTGGATCTACTGATATCAGACACTGGGTTTTCACCCTAGCATCCCACGCAACCCCTGGCCAGTAGTAGAGATGCTTGAGGAAGAAATGAGCCAAGTCTAGCTACTCTCGGGTTGTTCAAAGTTGTTTGTGATCTGGGGTGAGGCACACTCTTGGAAGATCTTCTCAAAAGAATGTCTCAGAACAGATCTGAGGTCTTCAGGCACATTTCAGGAACAGCCTAAACCTTTGACTCTATTTCATGAATACACAAATATTTTCTAAAGTAAAAAAAAAAAAAAATGCTTATTCATTCATTAATAGTCAGGACCCTGCCTGCTATAGAAAAGAGTTATTTAAATAGAACTTCTTCTGAAAAGTCATAAAATATAATATTATTTTCCCTTAGATAGCTAATATAATTAGCGTTCACAAAGCCATTAAGTCACAACAATAAGCTGTCATTATGAGGAAGTAAGGAGAAAGACAGAAACATTGAAAGTTAAGGAAAAAAATCATACCGTAATTCAGCAAGTACCAAATGTGGAGAGAGAGCTCATCGCAAAATGAAACTGCCCAGGGTGAGCAGCTGGAAGAGTTTGATGGGATAGTCATTATGTTGGCTGAATGAATTTAGTATCATAAGATCATCAAGAAATGGAGATAAAAACATGTGGTTAAAGTGTAAAAAGAATAAAACCTTATTTATTTATTTTTGTTCCTAAGAGACTACTCGAAGTGCTTCCAAAAACCATGTCACTCTAAGGAGGAATAAATGTGTGGCACCCGCCCAGGGGTTCCTGACCACTTTAGCCATTACATGATGATCCTTTCTGAGTGAAGGCCCTTTGTGGTCAGGCTCAGGTGATTTGAGATGTCTATATCATTCAATTACCTCAGCCTTCCTCCCTCCATCCAATCCCCTCTCAGTTCTCCAGGGAATGGATATGATTTTCATAATTTAAAATCAAAGCAGAGCCCTGGCTGGTTTGGCTCAGCAGTTGGAGCGTCAACCCTCGGATCTAAGAGTCTCGGGTTTGATTCCAGTCAAGGGCGTGTACCTCAGTTTTGGTTCCATCCCTGGAACTGGTCGGGGTCCTGAGGGAGGCAACCAGTCAATGGGTCTCTCTCACATCTCTCTCTCTCTCTCACTCTCTCTCTCTCTCCCCCCCCTCCCACTCTTAAGATAAATGGAAAAATATCCTTGGGTGAGGATTAAAAATAAATAAATAAATAAATGAAATTAGAGCAGAAAACTTGAGAGATAAAGCTAAGCTTGAGAAAGCATTTTTTTTTAAAATCCTTACTCAAGGATATTTTTCCATTTATCTTTAGACAGAATAGGAGGGACAGAGGAAGGGAGGGAGGATGAGAGAGAGAGAGAGAGAGAGTGAGAGATTGATTTGTTG